TTGATGGGTTTCGACAGATAGATAATGACAGGTATCCAGCATCATAGTCTCATACAGAGTAGTGTTGCCAGCCTGCATATCCTCCGTACTCTGCATATTCATCCTTCTTGCCTCCCCAACCCACAAAAACCTCAGATCTTTTATTGTCTCCATAATTTTGCCTTCCCAGGATGTCATAGAGTTGTAATCATACACTAGGCAGCTCTTCACGTTGGCTTCTCTTGCTTAGTAATATTTATGTAAGGCTCTTCCATGCCTTTTCATGGCTTACAGCTCATCTTTAAGAGATCAATTCCTGAGAATTTTACAACTATATCCCATCGTTGGAAGGTACCACACTTTCTTTATCCATTGACATACTAAAGGAAATCTTGATTGCTTCCAAATTTGGGCAACTATGAATGAAAGTGCCATGAACATCACGTGCAGATTTCGTGTAGCCGTGTTTTCAGCTACTTCGCATGAATACCAAGAAACTCAATTGCTGGATCGTACTGTAAGACTATATTTATTTGATAAGAAACTGCTAAACTGTTTTCCAAAGTACCTGTATCATTTGGCATTCCCACAGGCAGTGAATGAGAGCTGCTGTTACTCCACATCCCCAACAGCATTTGCTGTTGTCAGTAAATTACCTTTTTAAAAAGCAAAAGAAGTGGCGCCTGGATGGCTCAGTTAGTTAAGTGGCAGACTCTTGGTTTCAGCTCAGGTCATGATATTGGGGTCCTGAGATCTGGCCCCTGGTCAGACTAGGTCTCATCGGGGAGTCTGTTAGAGATTCTCTCTCTCCCTCTGGACCCTTCCCCCACCTCTCTAAAATAAATGGATAAATCTATTTTTAAAAAGTAAACAAAGAAGAGAACTGGAGAGAGAGATGAAGAAAGTGAAGATCATCAGAAGAATTCAGTTGAGTCAGAAACTGATGCAAGCAGAGAACTTCACTGTCATCTCTGTTCCATCTGACATGTCACCACCTCCAGCCACCCCCAACTGAAAGCACCAATTTGTTACTTTTTAATTCACAAAACATCATGCCTGAACTAGACCTACTGGCTTCCAAACTGAACAAGATTGAGCAAGTTTCTTACCTTCTGCAAGTTAGTTGACTCAACTGTTAAACAGGAAACCTAATGGCTTGTAGATTTGGAGCAATGATTGAAGATGATAAATTATGTTTCCACATTCTCTAGCCATAGATAGCAAGCAAAATTACTGCTACTCATTTTCTTGCCACTATTATTATTGGCTACAGGAGGGTTTGCAACCCAAAGAAACTGTACAGAGGATTACAATGGTATGTTTCCAGATATCATCAACCCACTGTTAATGTGATGACACGATTTTCATTGAAGATATTTTACTTCCCCCAGCTCTGGCAACCACCATTTACTCACTATTTCTGTGAAACTGACTCTCTAGGAACCTCATATTAGTGGAATCATACAGTATTTTCTTTCCTTTTTTTTTTTTTGCTGAATTCTTTTTTTATTTTTTTATTTTATTATGTTATATTAATCACCATACATTACATCATCTAAGATATCTTTTCATGTTGATTTATACAGATTTTTTTATTGTGTTATGTTGATCACCATACATCTTTAGTTTTTGATGTAGTGTTCCATGATTCATTGTTTGCGTATAACACCCAGTGCTCCATTCAATACATGCCCTCTTTAATACCCACCACCAGGCTAACCCATCCCCCCACCACCTTCCCCTCTACAATCCTTAGTTTTTTTCTCAGAGTCCATAGTCTCTCATGGTTCGTCTCCCCCTCCAATTTCCACCCCTTCATTTTTCCCTTCCTACTATCTTCTTTTTTTTTTTTAACATATAATATATTATTTGTTTCAGAGGTACAGGTCTGTGATTCAACAGTCTTACACAGTCCACAGCGCTCACCATAGCACATACCCTCCCCAATGTCTATCACCCAGCCACTCCATCCCTCCCACCCCCCACCACTCCAGCAACCCTCAGTTTGTTTCCTGAGATTAAGAATTCCTCATATCAGGGACACCTGGGTGGCTCAGTCGGTTAAGCGGCTGCCTTTGGCCCGGGTCATGATCCCAGGGTCCTGGGATCAAGTCCCACATCAGGCTCCTTGCTCAGCAAGGAGCCTGCTTCTCCCTCTCTCTCCCTCTGCTTGTGCTCTCTCTGTCAAATAAATAAAATCTTTAAAAAAAAAAAAGAAAAGAACTCCTCATATCAGTGAGGTCATATGATACATGTCTTTCTCTCATTGACTTATTTCGCTCAGCATAATACCCTCTAGTTCCAACCACATCATTGCAAATGGCAAGATTTCATTCCTTTTGATGGCTGCATAATATTCCATTGTATATATATACACCACATCTTCTTTATTCATTCATCTGTCAATGGACATCTTGGCTCTTTCCATAGTTTGGCTATTGTGGACATTGCTACTATAAACATTGGGGTGCACGTACCCCTTCGGATCACTACATTTGTTTCTTTGGGGTAAATACCCAGTAGTGCAATTGCTGGGTCATATGGTAGCTCTATTTTCAACTTCTTGAAGAACCTCCATACTGCTTTCCAGAGTGGCTGCACCAGCTTGCATTCCCACCAACAGTGTAGGAGGGTTCCCCTTTCTCTGCATCCTTGCCAACATCCGTCTTTTCCTGACTTGTTAATTTTAGCCATTCTGACTGGTGTGAGGTGGTATCTCATTGAGGTTTTGATTTGGATTTCCCTGATGCCAAGCGATACTGAGCATTTTTTCATGTGTCTGTTGGCCATTTGGATGTCTTCTTTGGAAAAATGTCTGTTC